CCTATCACGACCACCACCTATCACGACCACCACCTATCACGATCACCACCTATCACGACCACCACTTATCACGACTAGCATAACAATTACATTATCTTCAATGTCAATAACATGAAATACCTTCTTTATGGAGCTTTCGGCTGGTGAACATCCTACCCCAAATTCAAAGTCCGCACTCGTACTGATGCTATGATCTGGSKTGGAGTTGATTGTATCCGTTGGAACAGTAAAACTGCATGGTGGAAAAAGGCATACAGACATGATTAAAACATGGTTTGAAGTGGCCCTCAGTACGAATTAGTTGTTCCTATATCCACTGGGAGGCACCATGTTCACTGTATATTTTTAATACGTACCTTGCATGCATATTTTTGAATGCTAAATATGGAATGTTGAATGCTGGTTTCCAGTGCTGATCGACATCTAACTGTCCTATCAGCTTGGCCCAGATTCCGCTATACTCCAGCATTCCCGTAAAATGAAGTTTATTTTCTTCTTCGCCATCTCTGCCTACCATATGAATGTATCCACTGGCATGGAAGGGGATTGAAGGGTCTACGTCAAGGTAGCTCATGTTACCATTTACCACCTAATCATGACAGTAACATATATTTATCAGTATGTGTTTATCGTTATATAATACTAAAGAGTACGTACTTTGAGCGAAACTTTAATTGATTTGTAAGCCACCAGTGCATCATGGGAGACGTTTTCGAAGGTCATATCAAACAGTACTTGATCTTCTTTGCATGTCGTTTTCATTTGAAACAGGCTATCTTGACCAAATGCCGCTTTGACTATCTCGCACATCTTAACACCGTTACAATTGCCAGGCACACGTGTTTGAGACATGATCGTCAGTCCAGCAGGAATCGAGCCAGCAAGCACTGTGGACAGAGGTTCTCCCGTTATACGGAACATTTTGGCGTGAGTCGAATTGAAGTCTGAAGTTGAGAGCAAAACACCAACCTAACGGAGAGGTCAGCTAGATTAGTTTACTGTATATACTGAGTAAACATGCAAAACAGTGACTTGTTTGCTTTACACTTACACGGCTCTGATTACTTGTTACTTTGTTCCAGTCAAGTAATGGTAGTTCTATTCCAGTGAATGTTCGAAGAACTTTACCAAAAGTTAGACTTTCGCTTATTAGGGAAGCCACCAGGACGTTTGCCTGATGTAGGTTACCGCCATAAAACTCAAGGAAAGTAGAATGCCCGTCAGACACCCAAAATGACTGGCCAGCAAACTTCACAGCAGCTACGTCTCTGTCGACGTAGATTTGCATGGACGGGGACATAATGCGCATGATCAGTAACTCTGATTTTCTGATCGCATCTTGGATCAGCGTAGTAGGCGTAGCTAATCCAAATACTCGTTCAATTGTATTTACATCAAGAGGAGAGCTTGAATTTCCGATTAGTTTGACAGCGCCATTCTCTAATGTTTCCATGGACACCTCGAAAATTGTCTCGCAAAGTCGATAATGACCCTTAGCAATGAATGATCCCCTGGTAGATTGGTAGCGATAGTAGAAAGTAACGTTCTCAAGAAGAATCTTCTCGTGGACTCTGTAAGCTACTGCTGACCCAAGTGGAACAAGAAMAGTGTCGATATTTGAAGACACGTGGCCTAAAATAACTCCCGGTACTTGGATGGTAGACAATGGAATTTGTAGGTGAGGTAATGGTAACGAAATATGGTAATGATCCCAACTTAAGACAAGTGTTTTTAGTTTGACGAGAGTTTCAAAGCATAGCACGATTTGATGGTTTAAAACTGATGTGCTAGTACTGGAGAAATTACTTCTTGGAAATAGTTTCCTGACACTTTTTGATATGTTGGAATGGTGTGGCCTTAGCGGAAGGGTTATATTCTCTTTCTTACACCACTGGTGTTTATCCAACCATGGTGACATCACAGTAGATCGGAATTCTATTGGTTAAATACAAAAATTCGATAATTGATATCAATCCAAATAAGGTAACAAATTACCGAAGACATGTAGAATATTTTTTTAGTAAAAATACGCAGGCGATTATAGAAAATCTCGCGCGCTGATTGGTCAAGAAACTCACACTATCACACGATAATCACCTCGAGCGAAAATTCAAAATGGCGGCCAGCCGCTTTGTTACTGTTACCAGAAAAAAATGCCTTTTATCTTCTTTTTTTGAAAGAATCACCTGTGTATTTTTACTAAAACAATTATTTGCCTCAGCCTCAGTGATTATTGGGGAATATTTACCTCGAAGACTCGCGTCTCGGTAAATATTCCCCGATAATCACTTCGCCTTCGGCGAATAATTGTTAAATATTAATTAACAAACTAATTTCGAAATCATTATTAAGAACATCAAACAACATAAATCGATTAAACAACTCACTTTTTTTCTCGTTTCTTTTCAAGAATGCTGAGCATTTGTCCCAATCAGTTGTTTCTTCATTGTCATTCACTACAAAACAACAAGACGTACATTTCAGTGTAAGTTTGTTATCACACAATACATTGAACACCAGTCATTACCATGCCTTGAAGATTCCTTATCTTACAACTGACCAAACCCTGCATACTTTAAGTTCTCAAATGTTACCGATAAAGAAAGGGCTCATACTAAAGGGAATTACTGTGGATTGAGATTATTTGCAGATAGACAGTCAGACAGACAGACGGACAGACAGCCAGACAGACGGACAGACGGACGGACGGACGGACGGACGGACGGACGGACGGACAAACAGACAGACAGACAAACAGCCAGACAGAAAAACAGACAGATGGACAGACGGACAGACAGAGAAACAGACAGATGGACAGACAGACAGATGGACGGACAGACAGACAGATGGACAGACAGACAGATGTACAGACAGACAGACGGACGGACGGACAGACAGACAGACAGACAGACGAACAGACAGACAGACAAATAAACTGAAGACGCTTGAGGTCATTTATCGGGCATTTCGTAAGAGTAGTATCTCCTTTCTACTTCTCACTTAAATGGTTTTTACCAGAGAATGTCTTACCATTTATTCCTAAACTTAAACAAGAGTGAGCATCGTTGTCCAGAGGAGCAGGGAGTTCTGCGCACCAAGGCAGGATGTTACTGTCAGGACTCAATAATCTTGCAAGATGAAATTCTTTGGAGCAAATGCGACCTTGTAATACTTCACACTGCAATCTGCGCATACAAAAAGGTCCATTAACCCTAATCCAGAACTAATTGACCTATAACATTATGACGTCACAGCTCGTCGTTCGGGATATTTAGTACAACATTTATCTGTTATCACCTTTCCCCGTCTATTTAACCATTTTTTATTGTGATTTAATTCGTGTTGCTGCTATTTTGCCCCCTCTGGCGACCATGATCCTTAGCGTTAAAACAATAGATTGTTTTGATGTGACGTCATAGTGTTATAGGGCAATTGATGTACATATTTATAAGAACATGGTCAATATTGATAATATTACTAGTTACCGGCATATTTGTCTAGGTGTTGGATGTGGACCAGTGGAACACGGTGAAAACAAGTGATAACACAGAGCTTTTTGCAGGTATCGTTTGCAATTGCTTGAGGTATAGTTTTGCAGAAGTGATAATACTCTCCTTAGTCCTCTCTCTACTTCTGACTGTTGACCATGGGTGGTTACCAGGCCTTCAGCGGTCATGTAAGTTTTGCAGATGTCGCCTTGATATCTTTTACACGAGTTTCTATTAGGAACAATAATATGCCAACAGCTGAGGATCAATTATTTCTCATGTTATACAAGAGATAAATATTGTTTATACCTTGGACGGACAGTATTCTTTTTCCCTGGTTTTACTGTAGTCTTGTTCGTCGCATGCTTATGGTTAGCGATTCCTGGTGATACAAGGAAGAAATATGCTGGTATATCGGTAATCACAAATATCATGCTTCGTAGTTATCGTTCCAGCTGCTTACCATGATCAAATACTCTTCGACAGTTAGTCCATGGTAGCTTCGAACAAGCAATTGACTGGTACCACAGGGGACCCAATATTCTTACGTCACGACGACAAAATTTCTTTTCTAGTTTGTTACAATCTTCGCGGCATACCGTTTGTGGCTTGTCATTATTCTTCAGAGAGCATGAGGGGTAGTTTAGTTGACAATGAAAAACAATAAGTTGTTTCTGGCAGCGAGAACTCTTTAACACCCTGACAATCTTCGCTAGTCGTCTGTCAGCTTGATACTGCAGCTTTCCATGTGAGACCAGACGAGCACTACATAATCTTCCACTATACACCTGACACCTTGAGAAACAGACCGTATTTTTAATAGATGTTAATGCTAAAACAGTGTCTTAACGACTATACTAACCTCCGTTGTTTGTTTCTTCTATGTCCTATTAAAAAAAAAAAAAAAAAAAAAAAAAAAAACAATTGAAAGTGCTACTCTGACGTAAATCGCTCAAACTTGGATTCAGCTGAAACTTCCTAAGAATACTTTCTCGATATTCAGGACGAAAGTATGATATTTTTACGATTATTTTTTGGAGTCTGTGACGTCATACACTCAACATCGAACATTGCTACATATATTTCTTTGTATATAAATCCTTAATTTATTTTATTCCTATGAAGCCCAAAGGGTGGCTAATGTGCTTATTTCACATTCATTATGACTATAATTTATATTTTGGGGTGTTTGGGTATTTCTTTCTCCCTTTACTACTGATATTTTGATCATAAACTACAAAGAAATGTATGGAGCGATGTTCGATGTTGAGTGTATGACGTCACAGACTCCAAAAAATAATCGTAAAAATATCATACTTTCGTCCTGAATATCGAGAAAACACTYCATACAGTGATTATTGGACCTTTAAAGAGTATTCTTAGGAAGTTTCAGCTGAATCCAAGTTTGAGCGATTTTCGTCAGAGTTGCACTTTAAATGATTCTTACTACACACACGCACAACAGATACATGTTCAGAGAACAAGGACTTACCTTTTACTCTAACATATGCTGAAGCCGAAACTTTTTGTCCTCGATGATTCTTTGCGACGCATCTGTAAACTCCCTCATCTGATGGTTGGATGTTCTTAATACGCAGGCGCGATCCCCAGTCAAACTGCTTTATTTTTGCTCGTAGGCTTTGAACGACAGTGGTGCCATCTTTTTTCCATTTAATTCGTGGTTTTGGTTTGCCTACAACACATCTTAAGGAAACGCCTTTACCAGTTGATATTGTCTTGATCAGGATCTCTGGGCCACCTCCTATCAAACAATTCAAACAATAACAAACATGACTTTCTTCGGGGAACGGTCTAGATTTTTACGAAGCGGTATTTACCTTGACGACGATAAGGCAGCAGCCAGGCAAAAGAACCACTTATCATACTACTTCGTAAGTGATCCTGCAGATTTAAATTGTACTACTACATAAATATTGCATTATGTACAGATAGACAGACAGAAAGACAGACAAACCAGCAAGCCCAGCACAAAAGAACAGGCAAACAGACAAGCATGAAGCAAACTAACAAACAAACATACCAAAATGACACTAATTCAAAGGAAGTATCAGCTAAAAGTGATATGAAGCAGAATAAAGATTTTTTTCATTGATCAGTTGAATGAAGAATCCCTATAGCCTGGAGGCAAGGATATTTTGATGTTTTATCTTAACCTTAAGTCACTTAAAATTCCATTAGAAAAGAAAAGATACGATCATCTTTGACAAGTTCAATCGACACCTTGGTGTTCCAGTTGAAATATTTATTCTGAATCACGTGGTTCATAGCATTTTAGGAAAGCATACATTTGTGTTTTGCTGTATCTCGTTATTAATCTATTCATTACGATACGGAATCGGCTTACTTCAGTCTCATTTACACACTCAGCGAACAAATTGGATGCGTCCCTTCTAAAACAGTTGTTTTTAAATATTTGTGCTTGCGCGCCCGGCCCACAGCTTATTATTCTACCTCTTATAAAACTTGCTTTAAAAATTGTATTTATAAGTTAATGGGTGGCCTTAACAATAATCTATTGCAATCAGTGTTCTGCTCTAATCAGATATCCAATATTCTTCACACAGTATGGTTTCGTTTCACGGATATATGTCGTGCACTCTATTTACAAGTATCATCAAGTAACAATGGCTTGATCCTCCTACAAGTCCGCTACGTCTAATTCCAGTAAGTACTCATACCGTCTTAAACACAGGAAAACAGTTCGCTTTTTAAGTAAATACGGGGGTATTACAATTGTAGTGTTTGGTCATTAGTGATGTTGAACGAGTTAGAACTAGCTATTAAATGGTATGCTTGATCTCTTTTTGTTTGGCTGTTTGAAGGTGTTTGCTCTTATCAATCAATTGTGTTGGTTTATATAAGTCGTAATTGGTTAACACTTATCCGTATGCAAACAATTGAAGGTGTAGGGTGGTCCGAACGCCGCATAGAAACCACACAAGTCGATACAATCATGATTGGTAATTGCTATTTTTTCACTTATCGATTAAGATCGTACATCAATCTTCAAAAGAATATACTACGATGAGCCTAGCTCATACTGACGAAGATATGCAAGTCAAAAGCAGAATGAGAAAACTATAGCGAATACAATACAATACAATCGCTCGATCCAGAGTTAATATTAACTCTGCTCGATCCAAGTTACTATGAGAGGATTCCGTAATTTATATACATTAAGTAATATCTATTCTATCGGATAGAAAACTTAAAGTTAGCGAATTACAAAGYGAATAGGCAAATTGATCTTACAAATTCTTATGACTTGAATTTTTAACATTTTCCACGTAGTTGCAAGCGCGTAAAGGACATCAAAGGTAAAAGAGGAATTAAGAAGAAAATATTGGCCTATTAAGTATTTCATCACTTCACAACAAATATACTCAAATATGTACATCGCATTTGATACAAAAAGAACGTTATGTTCATGCTCTTTTTTGTCTTGTCTTTGAGCGGCCGTGTTCTCGAATAGACCCTTAAAAAGCTAAGTGCAAGACTACTGACTGATCAAATGCATGAGATTTTTAAAAGTTATATTCATTATTATTACTTATATACTATAAAAGTCATGTATAAGTAGTTTTACTAGAATATTCATTCTTACCTTGGACGAGGCACCTTTACAACCGTGTATCGTGATGAAGCACAAAGTAAAAGAAAGAAATACTGAATACTCCATGATGTACACGTGTATCTCAAAACAGTTTTACAAGTGTTACTGGATAAAATATAGATCTATGGATCATTTACTGGTCTTAGGCTACTGAGCTATCAGACCAGTCAATGAATGCGCTGTGAACAGTTCAATGGTCTAAAGCATGTATGGCTTGATGTGGTCTTGTCGATCTATTTACTAAGAATGCACAGATCATCCAGACCACACACAGCGTCGCGTGTCGGATTTCAAGTTCTACGTTTAGTATTCAGTGGGCTAACTAACTATAGCTAGAGACTCTGAATGCAGACCATGAGACTAGACTTGGAATCATTATTCTGCAATTGACACTACGCAATAATAATGATGAATTTTGTATACAGTCAGCATATGTGTTATGAATCGGGCTGTATACCTTTACTAGTTACACCAAATCTACAAATAGAAGGGCTTTATACACAAATCAACCGTTTAAATGTAATAAATGAGTGGCGCTAAAGATCCTTCAGAATTTTGTCTTAAAAAATGTTTCACACTGCCGACCTGCCACAATTGACGTGTGATTGTTTCCTTATAGTGACACAGAGACAGTGTGTCTTCTCAACAAGTTGATCAATGCTTAAAACATGTTTGCTAGCGGTGTAAGCTGATAGGATGATCATTATGAAGCCATAATTATGGCATTCCACTCTTGAGTATTATCCACTGGTCAGTATTTGGCCTCAGTTGAGTTATTGGCAAGTTATTGTCACGATGTCCTTTCAAAAACGACTGTGATTAAGAGAGCTGTACTTACTGCCTATAAAGAATGGTCTCGTAAGAACTGAATGTAAGCCGTGCTCTAACTGACGAAACATTAATGACTTCATCACCACTCCAGGTCAGTCTTATCACAGATCTTATCGATCGATCTTGTTTTATAATAACGATGATTAATTAGGAGTTGTGTAAACTGTGGGAAAACTACTGTGTGAATGGCTAGATATGGTGATATTCCGGCCAAGAGGAAGGAAAGAAAGTCATTAGATTAGCATAAGACAATTAATGGAAGTGCTACACTTCCTCTACTGAGAGCCAGATAACATCCTTACCAGTCATCACTGAACAAGACAGTACTATTAAAAAAAACATTTATATTAATACTAATACTAATACTAATACTAATAAGAATATTAAACTAGTTATTTATCGGCACCAGATTTTACATATAGATTATGTCCTTGAATTCTTGGCCAATGAGCTGATCAGCGCGTATTTATAGCGCGATTACAAACTGGATGTGATATTTGTAGGTGCAAGCGGTAGGGAAGATAATTTTTGGCAAATTATCTACAAAATGCTTGTCGTCAAAAATGCATTGACTCGCGGGAGAACTATTGGGTCCTACTGAGATGGAATGACAGTTTAATGGGTCACTCTGTCAACTAAGAACAAGAACTATTGGGTCCTACTGAGAAGGAATGATATTTTAAAGAGACACCCCCTGTCAACTAAGGACGAGAACTATTGGGTCCTGCTGAGATGGAATGATAGTTTAATGGGTCACTCAGTCAACTAAGAACAAGAACTATTGGGTCCTACTGAGATGGAATGACAGTTTAAAGAGACACCCTCAGTCAACTAACACCAAGACATTTCCGGATATTTTGCTTTCTATTTTAAGGGATGTTTCATACCAGGTTATGTTTTATGTATGACATCAACTCAAAGTTGGTCCGTTATAAACTAATACAGTTTGCGTGGAAATATTTGACTTCTTAGCGTGACAAATCCATCCCCTGTAGAGATGAATACCTCGACTGACGTACGCCCATGTACCATTCCACAAGCATTGAGGTCAGTCCGTAACAGGTTTCTTTTTAGGTAATTTAGTATCTTAATGGGGAGAGTGAGACTGAAGTCTAATGGCACTGTATTTAGCTAACCCATCCAATCTATAGGTATAACTATATATATGGCTGATACCACGCCCTGATCGATCATAAAGTTTTATCTCGGAGTCATGCAGTAAAGATATCCGTGTTGAATGGATGAATATTTGACCATTAAAGTCATTCAACAAATGTGCAATGTATTCGATATTTCATAATCATTTTCACGCTAGAAACATTAATGGCTTGCAACTTTCGTTGTCACACCATTCCAGTACATTTCGTACATTCATTTATCCTGTTGTTTTTACATGGTGTACTTTAGTACGAACGATATATGTATTTTAAGGTAGATCGTTATTTGACGTAGCATACAAATCAAAAACGTCGTTTTCAGGTATTAACGACTAGATGCGTGTACTACATGATTGTTACCAGCATTAGATATTAATACTACTTTACTGTATTCCTTTATGCTTAAAATATTCTCTTTCTTTTATCCTACTTAACTTGTTTCATATTTTTCATATCCTTTTGTGGTCGAACGACTTGCGCATCTCATCAGTTTGATATACTGATTACATATTTTCTAAATCTATTGTATAGAGGGGCCTAGAAGTGCCTGATAGTGTATATCACCTCATTGACCCGATAGGATATCCATCTTGAGATATTAAACGACAAATGCGCCAGCTAAAACGAGATAACCTCAAAGGTTAATTAATTCTGTCAGTGTGGTCTTCCACTCCTTTTATGGAATCCCGACGAAATTATTGGAAATTATGAAACATTAACTTTCCCGAATGAGGTGGCTAGGGAGGGGGGCTGTCGTAGGGTAATACGTAGTGTTATATATATATATTTGCTATATGATGTTCTAGGGAGGGGTAGGGTAATATGTAGTGTTTTATATATTAGCTCTAGGGTGGGGTAGGGTAATATGTAGTGTTTTATGTATTAGCTCTAAGGTGGGGTAGGGTAATATGTAGTGTTTTATATATTAGCTCTAGGGTGGGGTAGGGTAATATGTAGTGTTTTATATATTAGCTCTAGAGAGGGGTAGGGTAATATGTAGTGTTTTATATATTAGCTCTGGGGGGGGG